TGTGTGTGTGTGTGTGTGTGTGTGTGTAAGACAGAGACGGGAGAGGGTCAGAGAGAGAGAGAGAATCCCAAGCAGGCTCCATGCTGTCAGCGTAGAGCCTGACACGGGACTCGATCCCATGAGCCATGAGATCATGACCTGAGCAGAAATCAAGAGTTGGATGCTTAACTGACTGAGCCACCCAAGCATCCCAGACTCTTGACTTCTATCTTCAGGATCCTGATGCAGCTTTACTGACAGCTAAAGCTGGCAACCGCAGGTATATGTCCCAGCAGTTAACATCCTTTTCCCAAATGCATGCTTTCATCCTTTATTTGCTATAAATAATTAGTACTTTGGGTCTTTAGTACAGTATGTGCACGAGGAATAAAACTGGAAATAAACACTGTAAGGGAAAAATACAGATTGTGAGGAACACTCTAGATCGAATCTATAGCAGATTACACTCAATTTTCTGTCCTTTGTAACATTTATATGCGCATACACACACATATGTATCATATATAAACATAAATGGGTTTAGGAAAAAAGTGCAGAAACTGAGCTTGCCTTATTGATTGTAATGTGGTCCTGGAATAACTCACCATAAAATCTATGTTATTGTCTTCATTCCTGAAATGTTCCATCAACTTCTCAAAGCGCTGTTTTTCTCCGCAAACCTGAAATACACATTTTCATCACGCATATGAAATTCCAAACATAAGCATTCTAAAATTAGAGGCAGGAATTTTAGCATTAATAATTATTTCCAGAGTATCTTTTTATTGCCTCTCTCACACACTGTTTCCTTCTCTTCTAAGCTGGTTAACTCACAAACAGCAACATGAGCCAGGCCCTAAAGCTAAGCCTCAGTTTCTTTCAAATGTTCCCCAATATATTGAAATCTATGTCAAATGTGTTTTCCTTTCATTGGTTATTTTTGCAGTCCAACAATTTTTTAGCCTGCATGCAGAATCCCAAAATGTTATGGTTTAAAAGAGGAAAACTGTAACAACGCCCCCCACCCACCCCCCCATTTTCCTTTTTACAAAAGCACTTTTAAAACAGGTACGCTAAAAGATTTGGACAATTCAGTATTTAAGTTCCTTGAAAAGCAGATTGACAATGTTCCTATTACATCTAAATCAAGTGATTTTAACATAAACTACAACACAGAAGTAGACACCACAGCAGTAAAGTATCTAGTACTACAGTAGACACGTGGGAAGTTCTACTAACCCATTTAAGGCAAGTACAGAAATTTGCAGGAACTTATAAATTAGCAACCCAGAGGCCTGAAACATTCAGCTCAAATTAATGTTTTCACCAAACAGGTAAAAGGGCAAGATAAATTACTATGAACTCAAGTGCTCCAAAGGATCTGGGTCTACATTGAGTCAAAAATACAGAGTCAAGGAAAGATTCGTAACAAGTAAGAACTTTCTGGAGACTTATTCCCAAAATTAAAGGATAAACTTCAATTCTGCCAGTGGCCTTAGCAACCTTTATTTGGAGCCCACTGGCTTATTCTTTCTGCCTTCAGAAAGTATGTACCTGAACACCCTTGAGCTACATGTAGTATTAGTAAGACAGTCCCTAGTCTTAACATTTTGAATTTAATCCGGGTTTCACATGCTTAGCTCACTTTTTGGTTCTATTTGTGATATTAGAAATATATGTAGGATGATCCTGAAAAATTCCCCCAAAATGGTGTTTCATAATGTTATAATGCAGCCACTTAATTCCGTCATGTTAAATCCCACATAAGTATTTATTTCAGTGAAGAGGAAGATTCAAGAAGACAGCAGTTTTGTCTGTTTGGTTCACTAAACTACCTTCAGCATCTAAAACAATGCTTACCATGTTGGAAGCTCTCAATAATATTTGTTGAATTACACTGAAAAAAGGACAAGTGACTAATTATGTTAAGATACACTTAATGAAAGGATGATCACGTTGATGAAAAAAGAACCATCAGCCCATAGTAGACAGGTGCTACGGGTAAATCTTTAGTGGTAATTCATGTCCAAACCATGTGATGGGAACATTAAGCCTTCAGCCTCTGAGGGCCTTCTAAGTCTCAAGGCAACTTAATTTTCTCAATAGATGCACACCACACTTTACCGTATTCAGACAACAACTCTCCACGTATTTATACCTGCCTTAACAAAAAATAATTACAGAAGAAACAGTGCATGAACCCAGTCCGGAGGAAGACAACAAGGCTCCAGAGGGAGCACTGGAAGTCAAGCCTTTAAAAGCATGAATCCAATCCCACCGACAGAGCCTGATTCAATAGGACCGGGGGGTGCTGGGTGACACGCACGTGCACAATTTTAAAAACACTACAGATCATTTTGATGCAACTCCACAAAGGCAGAGACATTTAAAGGGATACTTTGTTCTGCCACTCATCTCAGCCAGCCCCTCTGGAGAATATGAAGCAAATTCCTGGAAGCAAAAGGTTTGTTAAGAGGTGGGGGATTGAGGCATTACAAGCACAGCTCCCTAGACTATGACATCAGCCACATCTTGTGCCCAAAGGGACAAAACTCCCTAGCCTGCAAAAAGGACCCAGTGGTTGAAAACTGCCAAGGCTGGATATGGAAAGGATCAGAATTACAACCTGAATTTTCTTTAAGACAAACCCCAACATAAGAACTTGTTTCCCAGGGGAATGGTTTACTTCAATCTGTTTTGGGGAGGTTGGTAGTGGCAGGAGAAAGGAAGAGAAGTTGTCTTGAATCTGCGAACAGCTACCAGCTACCAGAAGCTGTGACTAATGGTCTGTTGAGCAGCTAGCACTCAATAAACTAGAAGAAGCAACAGCTAACAATGAACAGTGATGATGAATACAATTCCTTCCACGCAAAACCATTCAAATCAAAGAATGTCAGGAATCTGGAAAGTACCTGGTGCCCTCTATTTATGAATGAGACTGATACCTAGACAGATCATACATCTATAATTTGATGAAAAGTCAATGCAGAAGCTAGAACCAGGTCCCCAAGTGCCAGCCTGACTGATGTTCTTTCTCCAACACAGCCTAGAATGTGCAGATAAACATATATTACTTAATCCTGGAATGCTTTAAACTATCTTCGTATCTGAGACAACAACAGATGAAAAATGTTCTTGTTAGAAAACCACAATCATGACACTGGGCATATACTTGATGTGCCTGCACCACAGTCTTCCATGGAACTTCTAAAAATGGTGGATTCCTGGATCTAAATCAAGACCTACTGAATGAAAATCTCCACAATGGAACTAGGAATCTGTGCTTCTAACAACTATTCGTGGCTATTGAACCAGTAGCTTATATAATATAGACCAGCAAATTAAAGCCTGACTACCAATTATAAACCAGGTAACTAGATCATTAATTCTCCAACTCATTCAATCTCTGACTTAACAATAAGGAGATACAGTTACCATAACTGGGTATCATGGGAATGAAGCAGGAATTTACCCACTGCCCCTGCATAGGTACAATGAATAATAAGGTAACTCCCAAATCAGAGACTGTGTGCAAGGCATTAGAAAAAAGGGATTTTATATGGCTGAGGAAAGCACATATGGGCAGCAAGAAAATGATTCACAGCCTGTTAACAAATTTTTTTTTTAAAAAGGCATCAAAACTAGGACAAGCAATATTAGATTAATTTCGTGCTGGGTAAAGATCCCAAAAACCATGTAGTACCCTGGTAGACAGGACTGAAACAGACATTAAGAGCTTTGAATAGGGGCGCCTGGGTGGCTCAGTCGGTAGAGCGTCCGACTTCGGCTCAGGTCATGATCTCATGGTTTGTGGGTTTGAGCCCCGTGTTGGGCTCTGTGCTGACAGCTCAGAGCCTGGAGCCTGCTTTGGATTCTGTGTCTCCCTCTCTCTCTGTCCCTCCCCTGCTCATGCTCTGTCTCTGTCTCAAAAATAAATAAATAAAAAAAATTAAAAAAAAAGAGCTTTGAATATAAGCATTTCTTTTGAGAGCATCCTGTCAACAGATAAATCCATGCTAAGAACATATGTGTTAGGAAACAGAAATACCTTTGTCAAAAACAACAGACTTAATATCTTCCAATTTATAGCTGTTGTAAGCTTGGTGAAAAGAATCCCAATGCATAAAAATGACATATGGCCAGCAGAGATGCCAGCTTCAGGGAACTTTGGAAGAATGATCTGATGGACCACTCTCCTCACTCACTGGGAGACCCAGAAGGGCCTCTCCTGTCAGCTTCACCAAGCCCCTCTCTGGAGAGGTTTAGGTAGACAGTTCTGCTGCCAATCTCGACTAATGAATTCAGGGTGGTATTTTCTGACACTGTTCCATGGGAACAGCAGGGATTCCAGAGGCCCCCTTTATTTCTACTGAAGGAAAGGAAGCATGCAAACCAGATTCACATTTGTTCTTACAATACTTCAGCAATTATTAAACAAGTGTATACCGTAATCCCACAGGAAATGGGAAGATATGTTTGGGGGAGGTTGGTAAAGCTGTGTTCGGCATCAAAGGAAAGCCGTCCCAGTTCATACCGCTCACATCTGGACCACCCCCACACACTTGGTTCAAATGGGACAACCATGGCTGAACGTGTCTCTTCTTTCCTTTGACACTGACCTGGTTTTAGAAAACGGAGAGGATAAAAGAAACAAGATGCCAATTCTCAGTTGCATTCAGAATCCACACATCGATTGGCCTTCATGGGGATGCACGCAAGGACTTCACCAAAGTGTACATAAGAGCCAGGAACGTATCCGCACGTATCTATTACTGAACGTTATATATTGCTGCAGAGATCTACCATGTGCCAACAAAGGCCAGACAACGTATGATCTGAGAACTTTCCAGTAAAAAAAACTGTTCTGTGGCAACTGAAATCTGTCATTTCTTGACTTTCATATAATCAAAGGTATTTCTCATTCCCCCGCTAGCTTTAACACCAACTTACTGTATCGGTGATAAGAAGCCACTGAAGTAGGTGGGGGGAATGAGCAAATTGAAGAAATTGCAGCCACAGATAGGCCCCGAAGAGGAGACTGCAGAGAATACTCCATCAGGAATTAGGCTTCCACTACTAGCAGCCAGGGCTACCAAAAATTAAGTCCGACAGCAGGAAGATAAAAGTATATGCCCTGGAAAAACATTACTCTGCTGTAAACTGAACAGGCACCTTCATTTATAAATCAGTCTCATGTAAGTCAATACCCTGGCCCTGATTAACACCACAGAAAGCAAAAACCCTCAGGCTCAGGTCGTGGACCACAGACTTCAGTTTACTAAACATCCACCCATCCCTGAGGTCCTGCCTAACATCCACTCCTCTTTGCACCTTGAAGCTCTAACACTGATGGGGTCAGGGAATATGAGGGCAGATATAGGACTAAGCAGGGGACCCTAAAACCTGGGTCATAAGTCACAGCTCTGCCACCACTCTGCTGTGAGCTTGGACAACTTGGTGAACCTCTCTAGACTTCCATTTTCACATTCATTAATTCAAGAGCCTTAGGTTATATTTCTTGTTTTCAAGGCTGCTTTTAGAAAGCCTTAAGGGTGACAGAGGAATACTTGGGGGGCTCCCAAAGGGGGAGCTTGGCAGGCAAAGGAAAAACACAAGTGAGAAAAGTTCTTGGGACTGCCGTCCTGGTTTATCCAGCTCTGCTTTATTGCACTGAGTTGCC